GTGCACCGCACAAAAACGGTCGGCTTGTGTTCCAGTTGGTACGATGTTCGATATGTTGGAGTATATTCTCTCGAACTAAATCGCTGCTTATTGGATTGCTGATAAACTTCCTGCAGCTCCGTACCAATTTCACCCTTCTTGGGACTCATCAGGTGGGTGTAATGTCCGAGTTCCCGTCAACTTTGTGTTCGGCCTTGTAAGTAGCATCTTACTTCAAGGGTTATCACTAATTTAACTTGCAAAACAGAATATTTCACAGATAACGTACAGTCTGTTGTTCATTAAGGACTCAATGGGACTAGGACTACCTGATGAGCCTCCAGAATCGGAAAGAGTTTGCAGCAACCTCACAAATAGTGCGTTACATCTAGTTATCCGTGATTGTTTAAACACATGGAAAATTTTCATGATCCTCATCGTTCACAACAATTCACTTGATAACTCAGGAGTGACAATAGAATGTGTCATGTGACCTATCCGGAGTGAATGAAGAAGCAAGGGGGTTTGTAACCTCGAAATATTGACACCAAGAAGACGACACATCCAAGGGTGTTTCTACAGAATGTTTTAAATACATTAAAAAAGACACTTAATCTTCAGAGGGGCTTTCCCCCAATTGTTAGTAGTCTCTTGATTGCTGGAGTATTCCTAAGGTGACCTTTGTAGTGCGTACGGATTTCGCACATCTACGGGAAAATGCATCTATCATGCATTTCACTATCACACAGGGCGCGATTACAAGTAAAAACGAATAGTTTGTGAAATTGTCCATCAGCAATAGTTGGAAACTTTGAAACAAGGTCGTGCCACGTCAACTGTACACCAAACTTTAAATAAACTTTCGTCTCTGACAACTTAAGTTTGACGAATTCGGTCAGTGTTGCAATCGCAGGTCCCTTCCTTACATATCAACCCCCCAGTAAGGACATGAGAGTGCTTCACACCCTCCGGAGTGCGGGATGTGATTAGCCTTCGGAATCTTCTCCCAAATAATGTCCACCTTTCTTGTTCAGGTGTATCACCGGGCAGTTCGTGTCCATTTTGCATATCAGGCCTTATTACTGCCACACTGGGAACTCAGGATTCGACTCCAGTGGAGTTTTGTTTGCGCCATCCTGTTCCTCCTTTTAGATGCGCATCATAGCCACTTATTCATGTGTGTCATGAATATCCTTGTCCTTTTCGATTGAGCAATGTATAGACAGTTGACCAAAACTTTCGAAACGAGGAGATCCCTCCCAGTTCTGAACTTTGCCCCACCAGTAACCTACTTCTCTATTTATTGCTAATCGCTTTTCAAGAGCATCAAATTGATTTAACGAATGCGAGAATAGTCAGACATTTTAGGACGGCTCTAGCATCAACGCCTATGACAAACAACTACAATTTTTCAGTTTGTGTCTGAATCAGCTGACCAAGTTACAGCAGCATTCTATGGGGAAAAGGGTTAGGTCGACACTACTCGCTGTGGCGTTCATGTGGAGGTGAAAGTAGTTGCGAGATATCGATAGACCAGTATCAGTGAGAGAATGTTATCATTCGAGGATTGGACAACTTCACGCTTTCATGCTGAATCAGGTCACCGTACTACATAACACGGTTCAAAGCACACAGGCTACAATTGTCCGGTTTGTGACAGATGTCCCACCGTTCGGTTTCGTCACTTCTACCCTAGTTGGCTCTCTTCGTATGTAGTGACGTTGGTGCGGTGAGAGTATTGATTGGGGTTAGGACGCGATGGCTGTTCAGTTTACAAATCCGCCTTGCTCATTCTTAAACCGAATGCATTTTGTTTTTTGTTTTGTTGACCCGGTTGCAATTGGTGATTGCAACATCAGCTTAGATGTAGTCAACAGGTGTCTTTCATATTAGCAAAAGTCAAGATAACAACGAAAATGATTGCCGCCATTTGGTAGAAGAGCGTTTGACGGTCGCCCAGAAGGGCGATATTCAAGAAAAGCTCTCTCGCGAGATGGCCCAAGTGGTTAGAGCGCGAATTTACTGACCGGAAGGTCCGTGGTTCGAACCCGACCCCCGCCTCTCGACTTCCCCTGTCTAGGCTTGGGCAACCTGGCAGTATCCCAGCCCTCGTGCTTCCTTCGGGCGGCATGGCAGCTAGGCACCGGAAGGGTGCTACAGCTGAACTCTCGCCCAGAAGCCATTTGGGATTCTGTGGCTCCTTTGAATGTGTGTCGGAAGGCCATGCAGAAATCTATGGCTCACGAGGAAGAACCTAATGGTGGTTGTTGATGGAGAGGAAGAGGATGAGGACGATAAGGTTAATGTAACGTCCGATGATACAAGCTGAACCATAAGGCTTTTGAAGCGCCTTACTTTTAAATATATTTTGGTATCTGAAAAGTCGTCATAACGCACCGCTGAACTTTCATGATTTATATCTACTGGAAGAAACGAACGAGGTAGATGAAGCTTTGTGGCCTTCTTTGGTTATTGAATGAGTGTATAGAACTTCTGTTTTATTACTTCTCAGTTAATAGCTGATTTGTGCATTTCATTTGCCAAATTTACAGAAGAGACTCAGGTGTTTTGGTTGGTAAATTTATTCTTCCACGGTAACATTCACCACTGGTTTCACACTGTCAATGGCTTACGTGAATTTTGTGATCGTAAATCCAGTCTGTACAGGATGGTTCTGGCTGAGTGCAGTGGAGAATGTATGATGCGAAGCTTGTATAGACGGTTTGAGAGAAATAGACTAACTCCACCAGTTGCCATGAATACTCAGGACGTCCTTTTGACAGCACGCAATGACGCTTAAACCCGGGACCACTAGGTGCCGTGCCTCTGACCGTTCTTTCTTTGTTCTTACCTGGCCCAGTATGCTGACGTTATCCTAATCGAATTTTTGTCCTTCTCCATCTTCGTGTGCAGAAATGAGAGAGTTGGTCGTGTCTCCTAGTGGCGAGCTTGTGTTTTATTTTACCCTGGTTAACAGTTCCCTCCCTGTTTGTTCCACGTGGTGTTTTTCACAATGGTTACATTGAATTTTGTAGATTACATTTGTCTTCTCCATTGCACTAAGTATCCCGTTTGGTTTTGATAGTGCTCTTTGCAGCGCGTCAGTCGGTCTGTGGGCAACTCCTATGGCATGCTATCGTAGTATCCTTGCGGTCATCGAAATGTTTTTTATGTATGGTAGTGTGATTGTTAATTTCCTTGAATAACCGTTTCCTTGGAAGATTTGGTTTAAACGTTTCTCTTTTTTTGTCTTGGATTCTACTGCGTTGCAGTGCGTTTCAATTCGCCTGAATAGTCTCTGAATGTAGCTCTGTTTGTGACAGTTTGGATGGTTGCTGCCGTCGTTCAGAATTAGATCCGTGTGTGTAGCCTTTCTGTAGACTTCCGTTTGTAATTATCCGTTTGGCAAACTTGTAACGAGGACATCTAAAACCACCAGTTTGTTTTTGTTTTCCTCTTCCATCATGAACTTGAAGTAATCGGAGACACTGTTTATCAATTAGATTGCTCGTTGTAGTCCGCTCTTTTTGATGATGAAGGTATCGTCTACATAACGTATCCACAGTTTCGGGTTGATATCTGGTAACACGATCCCATCGTTTTCACATTGCCATCTCGGCGATGAACCCTGAAATTGGGGAACCCATTGTTGCTCCTTCCAGTCGTTCCCAGTATTCATCGTTGAATTCGAAAAGAGGTTGAGATTAAGAGATGTGGCCTGCCTGTGTATTATGTGACTTAGTTAAATATGACCGCGCGCACTCAGCCTACTTATTCGTCACCTTAATTGATTAGGGAATTTTGGTGATACATATGGGTACCCCGCAGGACCGAGGACTCCGGTTTTGTCGCAATTTCATCGCACATTGCCTCAAAACCATGTGATGCAGCATCAATGCTTGCCCCTCGTTTCCTCCCTAATTTTGAGGCTAATTAGTAAATAAGTGGTACGATGCTAATCCTGACTACTCTATTAGCTTCAAATTTGGCAGCGATCTTTGACCAAGTCTCTTTCGAATCATACATTTGTTTGAGTTCTCTGTGGACTGATGAAAGCGTAGGATGAATCGAACATAGTGATTCGATTATTCATTAGTGTGTAAGCCAAAAACAGCGTATTTCCGTAGGACAACGGTTTGATCTGTCGTGTGAGCTGAGAAATACGGCAGACGAGCACTTTTTCTCTCTAGGTACAAAATGCAAACTAAGTGGAGGAGCAAATGTCAGACAAACCAAGAAGGTTAATCAAACGTCAATGACAGCATGTTAATTTTTTCGGTCATATAATGGACCCTTCAATTTGTGCACGCTAAATGACCAGGTTAAAGTCATTATCTTCAAACGGGGGAAGCCTGATGGCGAACAAAGTGAATTAACTAACAGCGGCAGAGAACTTTCCCGTATCATTTTCTGAACCCAACAGCCTGAGTCTTGTAGATTTCAGCCAAAAGCACCGTACGTAACGTCGGTGAAAACACGTCCAGTGAAATTCATATTCCGATCCACAATGCGAGCTCACCGAATGGCGGTTGACCTTTGGACAGGTGAATACATTGACGTTTGTTCCAAAGTATCAAAATTTACTGATCTTCCAGTTTTACTATGTCTGCCACAGACTGACTGTTTTGCAACCAGAACTCGTCGGTAGGGACAATGGTGACATGCCCCGACATATCTGATACTGTGAGCAAATTTCCTTGGCAATTGATGGTGGTACATCTATTTGGATCAATTATCGCACACTTTGATTGATTCGGTTTTGTTTGCATGTCAGAGCGATCTAACTGGTTTATGGCTGATGACTGTGACAACTGAGCGTGTGGGTTAGGTTAGGTTGAGTTGAATTTATCCTCAGCTATTTCCTTGTCACGTGCTCATCCGTAGAAAGCAGGGGCTCCTCTGATTATCTCCTATGCCTAAGTATGACCAAATCCTTCGTACTTTCTGGTTACCGACGCAACTGTCCCATTTCTGGTTGCTGTCTGCGAGGTCACCTGATTTTTGTTTTATATTTTTCACAGCGATCCTTGTCTATCGAGTCTTCCGCACGTACCGAAAGCTTTCCCTCAAGATTCTCCATGCAGTTCTCCACATCCTAGCTTTTCTGTTCGCCGCAGTGGGCATCAAGGCTGTTTTTCAAATGCACAACGATCTCGGAATCCCAAACATGTACAGTCTGCACAGCTGGCTTGGTATCGCTGCTGTGGTACTGTTTGGCGTTCAGGTAAGCATTGGAATTATATCATTCGTATGCTTAACCGAAGTATACACTGTCCACGATTCTGTTTAGCTCAGAAGCAAAGATTTTCACGTGCCTTCGAAAGAATGGCTTGTAAGGACTGGGATCATCAACCTATTGTCCTGAAACGGCTGTCTCAGGCATAAACCATACCTTAAAATGTCTACCGTCTCGAATAGCACTATCATATGAGACGGGACTCCGACAGAATTTCGGTTAGGTAGAGGAAGCACTGATAACATTTGCTCATAGTGTAACGACAAACTCCTCTATCTACCTTTGGGTACTTGAAGTTTGTAAATATATTTTGTATCCCGTATTCGATCTTGCTATTTGCTGTTATCGGATGATGCGAAATGTTAGTTGTCTAGCGACAATCACGTGCTGACCTATCCTATGTTTAGGCGTTAACGGAATCTCTCTCTAGTCTCATTCGGCATCCATCCTATTCCCTGGAAGATAATCGCGTTGGCAGGTTCATCTTTTTATGACCGCCGAGGTCGCAGGTTCGAGACTTACTGGAGTTTTGTGTGTGCGTACTGCTGACTATTCCCGATATGGATGAAACAGCGGTCCAGTGCTTCCCAGTTCACATTAATAATAAAATAAATAATCGTTCAGCTGTAGCACCCTTCCTGTGCCTAGCTGTCATGCCACACGAAGGAGGCATGAGGGCTGGGATACTGCCAGGTCGTTCAAGCCTAGACGGGAGAGAGATTACTATAACATTCAAAGTTCGCATGTTTGTAAACCTCAACTACTCTGTAACCGAACTTGCATGTGCTACTAACAATCGTGTGCTGACGTCGTGGCCAAGCGCAGGAAAACTGAAAGCACCACTTGAGTTTTAGTCTTTGTTAGGAGGGGAAATTGCTCTTTGGAGTAATCTAGAATTGTGATCGTCGCTAGTGTATTCGGTTTCAACTATGAACTTCGCTTTTTAATTCACAAGCAAATTGCTAGGGATACGTTCTTGCTTGTAGATGATTGGTTTTATGCAACCGTTAGTCGTTTATCCAGCAACTGTGTGGAATCAATATAGGGAATTGAAAATGCGATCCTCTTGCAAGCAGGATTCGTCTGTCCATGAGGGAAATTCAAATCGAAAACAAGTCACTTAGCAATGGTACGTTTTCCACGCATATAGGCGCTGTCCGACTTGAAATATTTTCAAATCGGAAAGACAGAACTCAGCGAACCACTCGGTGACCCAACTTATGGAACATGTGACGACGTCTAATCAACTCATTAAATGGACATGAGAGCAGTTATATCCAATACAGGGTTTACTTGTGAGTTTGTCTTGCATAGTAAAAGTCTCGATGGGTCGATTGAGTCCTTACGAAAAACCATTTTTATTCCGAGCTTTTCACGACACGTACCAATCTCTGGAGACCAACACACGCACACACATGTTGACTAGGCTTTATGATCGTAAAGCAGCACTGGATACACTACCGCATTATAGGTCCTTCCCTTTCTTTAGGTGCTGGTCTCAGTCAATTCCATAGTTGCCTAAGTTGGATGAAAGCCTAGCGATTTAGGCGATTGTGGCATAGCCAATGCAGATACCATAGAAGAATAAATTTTAAGCTTTAGTATGCCATGGCTTTGCACTAGGGTGGTGCTAAGAGTACTACCGAATCGCATGGTGGTATCACCAGGAGTGTATCAGAATCATCTGTTGTGGTGTAATCAACACACCTAAAGTCTTCTGGGTTTTCACGTGGAGAAGTTTGACGTCGAAAAGCGTGGTAATTTTGGACGCACACCATCAGCGTACGATAGCAGCAGTCGCTCACAGTAGGGCTGTTCTAGTGTGGTCGTCAGTTACTTGGTTTGCATGCCCTTGGAGCACATTAACTAGTTCTTCGAAGGGAGGAGATGGGCAAAATTATTTGCAATTACAGAAGAGAAAAGATCTCATAAGCAATGCAAAGCGGCCCGACCAATAGCAACCCTTACAGGTTTGAGGATTTCTTCGGTAGCCACAGTTAACACTGCTTTTGGTGGTGCACTCAGGAGAACATTCTTGATAGATGTGGATAACTGTTACGAAGAAACGCTGTCACAACAGCGACACCGTTACAAACTAAACCTACTATTTGAGACCGATTATCATTTTAGGCCCCAAAAAACTGTCCGAAGCGTCTTTCTGTGGTTTCACATCTGCTCGTTTTCCCATTCTACCATTGAAATCCTGATGTTTCATATCGTTCAGTGGCTGGCTGGGTTGATCGCCTTCCTGGTTCCTCCTGTCCCACAACCGGCTCGAGCAGCTTACTTGCCAATTCATGTCTCCTTTGGTGGCATGCTATACCTGCTTATCATTGGTGTGTGTATCGCCGGGATTACGGAAAAGAATTTCTTCTCGAACAAGTAAGTTGTTTATCTTTTCATTCTCCTCTTAAAGAGATATTCACTGACTCAGTGCAGTAGGTCCACAGTGGTAATCATGTGAAAATAGTGGAGGTTCTCCGAGAGGATTTTTGAAAAAAATTCAAGGACTTGACAGTTTTCATGTTCCATTACACGTATGGTGCAACGGCTACTAAATGTTTCGAATTCCCAAATAGACTTATCGAAATATCCCGCAACCAAATATTCTTTAAGATCATTCATAGTTTCTTGCTCGCTCCCGCGTCCTTTGTTCCGACTACACATATTGGAATGGTTGTTTACCCTCGAATTTCTATTAGTGAAAACTACGTGGTGCTTTTGAATGGAGATCTACCACAGATGAAAACGCGCAAAATCTTGTATAACCCTCAAAGTCATCGTCGTACTGGTCATTATTAGAACACCGGTCTTAGGTCCATATTGTTTCAAAGTCACGCTCCGCACGCCCCACTCCCCAGCTCCTGTCTTATTCATCTCCCTAGGATCACATCCGAAATTATCTTTGTCAGTGCGAATGCAGATAATACATTCACGGAAACAGCACTTGATCTGAAAGTTCCTTACTGCTTCCTTGACCACCTTAACATTTAGAGGAAAAGCACCGAAATGAGTGAACAGCACGCGAATGTTCCATGACAGCTACTCATACGATGACCAACGTCCGCATCAACGACCTAAGAATCAATACTGGAAAGAGAAAGTTTTGTCCAATGTTAATGACATCTTTATGCCCACGAATTTGGAGCCATTTTAGCGGTCAGTATAATCGCGCTGTAACAGCTCGCAATCGACAGTCGGATTGGTCTATGGCTCAGCTCAGTTGCAAGGAGTTTCCTTGTAGCCCTTTGAAGTTACTTGTCTGTGATTGTAAGTAGCTAGACTTTGTGGAGAGGTGAAATCACCCATCAGAGAATAAACTGGTAGACTGTCCAGCAAAATGGAGAGGTCTGTAGCGAAATACAACGGGGAATGTTTGCTACGGACTGTTCTCGTGTGTGGCTGTCCTGAGGACCATAAATGGGCAATATATTAGCCGGCATTCTGTTGTGGGTAGCTCACCACGTTTGATCATTTGTTGTCATGAGCAATCCGTGACCTAAGCAACCCATCACTCAGTCAAATCAAAGTGGATAGCACATGAAGTTTACCGGACCAAATTAAACAGCTTTCATCGCATTTGGCCACCTGGTAGCATAGTTGAACGACTCATGGTTCGAACCTCAGTGTAAGCAGTGTTGCTGAGTCCACTGGGGAAATGTGCTGTGCAGCTCGCTTAGTTTGGGACGGGTAGCTATTATAAGAAGAAAGCTCTACCTACAATATGGAAGTACTTCACAGTGAAAACGCGTTTGTTTTGGTGGCTCCTGCTCTAATGGGTGAGTGCCTATTTTGTTGCGATTCATTGCGCTTCTGCCTCAGACGTGATTCTGTTAAGAGTACCTACGAGTCCTTATTTCCCTTTGTTCACTTTTATACTTTTATATTTTACTGACAATTTGTTCTGCTTGTCACACGTTCATGTTTTCGTGATTCCAGCATTTTGAAGGTTGAATTTCCCCTTCGAACCTAATTTCTCTGTTAATTCCATATTCAACCTACCGTAGACTCCCTACTCTGTTTGCTCCCTTTTCTTACTTATCTATGTGATTCCATTCAATTCAAAATTATACGCCTCATGGTTTTCTCCTTCATTGACCGATAAACTGCGTTCTCTTTCTGATTCCCTCTCCGCTCCGCCGTTGCCCGCACGGTAAACGCCAGTGGGAGTTTGTTTCTGTTCATCTTCTTGCCTTTCAGTCTCGTCATTCCTACATATTGCGGAACAGGTCTTTTCTCTTTAGTTCAACTAAGTCAAATCGGTACTGTGATTTTGTTTGTTTTACTAGAGTATGCTTTTTGTTTCCGAACAAACCCTACATCTTCCCGTTATTCGTCTTCTGTAGGTACCCCGTATCCCAACCCCGAGAGTTGCTCGGCAACGCTCTTGGAATCTGTCTCGTTGTATTCGGTGGTCTGGTTTTCTATCTGACTAGTCAACCCGCCTATCGACGCGTCGAGGCGGTCTCTCCCGAACGACGTGCTCTCAACGAATGATCATCCACAGGCTCATTCCACCGTGATTTTGTGTTATGAATCTTTCGCTTTCTGTTTTACCTGCTCTCCTTTCACTGTTATCATTCGCAGTTGTCTACCAAACCACGAATGATTTCAAATTTCACCACTGGCCATTACGATTGTTATTCCAACTTCACGACCATTTTCACAGAGACTCCCCCCTCCTTTTCGACTATGTTGTTTCTATCCGTGTGACAGGTGCAAACTTTTTAAATTTTCCCGCGTATTATTTCAGCGTCACCACTGACCTTTTTTGCCATTGTTACCACTATTTATTTTTGGTATTTATTTGGATCCCCCACTGAAGGTGAATTGTCATGAGCTTTTTCCATTCTATTTGAATTCTGGTTCGCATATTCACGTCCCCTCATGGATTCACCGCGTTTTCATCGTCCGGGGCAGCATCGTGTCTGATCATTCTACCCTCCGTTTCTTTCGTGGTGCGCTGTTGTCTTCTGTGATTTTGTCGCGCTGGTCAGATCGTGCAATATACCTGTGTCGTAGTTTGTCGAGTATTACTTTCCAATATGATTATACTTCTTTTACTTCGAGGCGATCGAAGAATGGTTTTTGATTACATATGGTAAACCGAGCTTGATTGGCGATTGAGAATATGTTCTTGACACACACTGCACACAGATTGAAAAAATACCCGTTTCATCAAAGACTTGCAGCTGATTTATCAACTAAACAGCATAAAGTGAGTGAACTAGACTAATTCTCATAGAGGAAGCTACTCACAAGGTTGCTGAAAACTCTTTGACAGCCTTTTGAGTAGTTTACTCTATGTAAATGTGTTGCCGTATTTCAAATATCGTGCCAACTAAAATATGAAGCGGCCTTTGTGAAGCACATTCAGTTGAAGAAGGATGTCATAAACGAGAGATTCAGTTTGTTCTCTCATGAAAACAAAATCGATATCCAATTGAGTGTATTTGTCGAGATGAATTAATTGTGTTTCAGATAAGTTCGATAGGGAATTGGTGGAATTATTGACGGAAAACACTCCTTTTTAACACGACTTCCCACGCCGGTTAAGTTAACCCGTTAGTCAGAGAACGGATTCGCATGATCTCGTCTATCTTGTAGACAAAATCAATGTTGAATGTCTTGAAATTTCCTATTAGATGTTATGGCTGATTAAATCTTACGCTTGATGAATTAGGGATGTGGTGGACTAAGTTCGGGTTTGTAAACTTTCCCCTCCGGTTCAACAATACTTCAGTTGGTAGCTCTTTCTGGACACTTTGGGGACGCCTAATCAAACTAGCTGGATACATGCTATCCTGGAAAATATGGTTTTCTGTTCAATTTGGGCTGCTATTCGGCAAATTTGTTCACCGAGCCCTTACTCAGTTAAACGCTGTTGAGGTAATGCTGATGAACACTCCAGTGACACCGGTGTCTGTTGACTTTCGTTAGAGATTCTTCATTTTCCACTCGGATTATTTTAGTCGGGCTCCCTCACCAAAATCGCTTTACCGCTCGCAGTTACGCGCTCCCACGGCCAACAACCCCCCCTGCATGCGACTGGCCGGATGAGAAGACCGCCTGTCGGTCCAGCATCAAGTCGAACTCTGATTGGCCGAAAGTTTGGACCCGTTAGCCAATCTTCACCCAGTATCCTCTGGAATTTTCAGAATGTTGTCACATACATTTTATGACGCGCCGTACATGTGTTCTTGATCTAGTTTCGAACCTTTAATACACGTGCCCCTTTGGTGGTCCTTTTGATAAGAACGCCAGCTTGGAAGGTTCAGACCGAGAATTGAGCTGAGGCATTACCGCTATTACAGTTTGGACTACGTTTGTAAACCGAATTTGGTGTGGGGAGCTTAAGGTGCTGGTGAAAGTCCGCGACCGCATCCTCTTTAATGCCGATGGTATCACCTAGGGAACGACAAAATACTCTTGTTTGTTGAAATTTGGCCAAAGACTGGTGTTCGAAATGCATTCGAAATGTATTACGCAAGATCAGGAATATTGAGTGTCTGATTACAGAGTCTTGTTCCCCGGCGTAACTGATGAATAAAGTACAGTACGTGCTGTTGAGACATGGTTTGTGTTTTCAAGAACCTCGCATGCACTCGGGAAGTATTCTTTTCTGCCAATAGAAACCATATTGCCAGTTCTAAGTACTCCGCTTCTGGCCCATTGGTGTTTTGTCAGTTTGTATCGAAACTCAAGAACGTTGGTTAACTCCAAGACACAGTCCTTGCCTTTTCTGGCATATTCGTGCAGTTTTAACCTTCATACACACCGCTCTTCCAGAACGCAGTTTTGCAGACAGTTATGAGCTCGAAAAATCACTTTGTTCCCACCTGACGCGTCAAAGATGAGTCGGTTCCATGGATGTCCTCGGATCGTTCCTGTTTTGAACAAGGGTCAGCAGCAGGTTTACATCAAATCCATTCTATCTTCTGTTCCTTCATTTTCTAGACGATCTGAAGCGTCAAATATGACCTGGTACGACTGTCGTGCTGAGTAGGACGTTACTCATGGGGAAAAGTATGGAGTCTGGCTTGTGGAAAGTTTGTGCAGCTCGCTGCAGTCAGTCATGCGGACCTTTTCTGATGGCTATTCGGTATTCTGTCGTTCCGGTAAACCAGCATTTGCCATAAGCACCTCTGACATAACAATTTGAGTCTAGTAATTGTCGACTTGTAATGACCAGGTCTTACGGACGTCAGTGATAGTTGAACCGTACGTATGTTTAGTTTGCGTGTCTCCTGATTTAAACATGGCCTTCCTTAAGTTTGCGGTGTGGATGAGCACTTCCTGTTTAAAGAATGTTGTGCCCTCTGTTGACACTGAGCAAGGTGCTCTGAGAAGTCATGTCCTTGGTGAATAATTTCGTCTCATTACCGAGTTCCAAAGACTGACTGAGAATAAAGTCATGCACATCTTCATCAATGTGCGTGCTGGTTTAGGTGGAAAGAATAAACATACTTTCCAGATACTTCTTAATACCCATCTGAAGAAACCGTTTGGTGTGCTCAGTGGTAAACAGCATTGACGACGGAGTGTTGATGATCCTGATCCGATTAGCCAGTTTGTAACTGAAAATTGGCCGTCGTCTTGTTAGGTAGTACATTTGATGTCTAATCAAAATATACTTTCCTGTGTGGAGCTTAGTTGGAGAGCGTTTGTGGTAATCGAACCGGGGCCTGTTCGGTATCACTGGTTTATAACATCAGTCAGGAGGATAGCGTGCATTAGAACTCTTTAGCAAGCAAACCTATTAAGGCTCTCACTTCGAAAGGGTCTCAAGATCTCTTGTGTTCGCTGTAGCTGATGTCGGTATTCCCGGAGCAGTCTGTCCGCCGCACATTCCAGAGCTACTGAATAACACCTCTTTACTTCGTTGCCTCCACAGCCATGTCATATCTTCCGTAGAATAAACGGGTGATGCTAAGGGTAAGTTGGATAATCTGCTTGGTTATTAGTTCTTCCGCTGGAAGGGAAATCCAGTTGTGAAGTTTGACCAACAAGCGGAGATGACACCCCAAATACTTCAACTAGCCTTGAGCGTAAAAGCTAAACCAAATGTTAGTCGGTGTTTGCCTCAGCTGCCTAACAACCCTCAGTTTTTAATCCACGTCCGATCAGCATCATTCTGCATAATTCTGCATAACTAGTCCGGATAGATACTGTTAAGTATTGTTACACCTACCAGTTTTGTGTTTGATGGAGCTATGCTGACCAGAACTCACCATAAACAACAATGAGTTTTGGTGTGGTGTTCCTACAGTGATCACGAGACGTATTTAAGTGATCTTTTATCATGTTACCAACTGGCCACAAGATTTACTGTGAGCTTTGTCTTCTTCAGCTGTGTCACGTGGGATTTTTATATCATCGCACGTAGATTATGCAAACCCAAGACCCACATTGATTTGGTGGGCAACTTCACATTCTGCCTTTTCCTCAGTCAGTGAATGGTTGGTTGTCATCAAAAAACGATACCAGCCTTAATTGGCGTACATCTGCTACTCGTAGCAAAGTACATAAAATATTCAGACGGACCTGTTCTATTTTACTGGCAGGTAGATATCCTCAAAGGATGATGGATGGAGCCCAACCCATTGTCACATATGTGCTGTACTTTATCACAATGTGTTAGCAATAACGGATTCGGCGAGAAAAACATGGTTAACTTAGGGTATCACTGATGAAGTAATTATATATCCATCCAGAGATTCCACTGATGTGGCCTACTCAAAGGCTAAACGGGATCGTTCTCACGCGGGAATTCGTTGATTTTTTGAGTTACATTTCGGTATACTTCTATACCATTTATCGCAAAATTTAACGAAAGGTGGCATCTATTCTCGAATTCAACAATAACAATTGGACATGACTTATGCCCCGAAATATTGAGTTTCAGTATCTTCTGTCTATATTGTTGAGTACAGCGTTTGTTCCTTCGTGCTTAGTTCTGTCAAATAGGCTAATGGCAAGCAGACAGGCAAAGAGAAACCAGACCTCATGATATTCGTAATCATGCTATATGGTGCAGTGTAGTTGAACTCACCGTCCTCCGGTGCAGAATTGTGTAAGGTGTTTCAGGTGAGCAACACCTCTGTGTGGAAGCATCGATGCTGCGTTCTTCCGATGAAGGACGGTTCAGAAAAGGTTGGTCCTAAAAGCACTTCGACTGCTCAGCAGTTATTCTCGGCCACAAGCGTATCGGCTAAGACATTGGGGGAAGTTTCCAAAGAGCCCTGCGCAACTCCGGAAGTTGCCACTGAGCTTATCATCCATGCCTTACTCTTTACTCCCCTGGGATACGCTAGTCCCTTACGGTCAAGTGACTTGGATCATTGCGTCGTTGGCTTCTAATGAGTCTCCTGAAGAAAGTCCTATCAATTGCGATGTTGCTGGTCAGACCAGAACATAGAAAGCTCGATGCCCATTGCTAAAGATCAATAAATTTTCATCCCGAACATCCTAAAACGAGTCAATCTTTAGAACTGATCAAAGTTGAAAATGTACAATTTGAGGGTTGCCTCACTGGCCAACAATAGATTAGAACCAGATAAGGAGGATAAGCTTGAACGGCGGACAGCACTTGTTACCAAGTTACTGAGCCAAACTCGCAAGATGACGTTTCTCTAAGTTTGTGTGCACTTGTGAGCCCACGATGACATTCCGAAGAGAAAGAAGTCGAGTTTTACATACCTGTCGAGCATCATATAACAAAATACGCCACTGACCAACTTTTCCTAATGGGAATTTTTGCTGCTCCCTTTGGTTCAGATCCAGAAACATGGAAGAAGACAATGGGTCTGTTTGAAATTTGATACGTGGACGACAATTATCGACCTCTGTTGTCCAGGTGGAGTCGACCATTATTCCTGTACAGGCCTTGTCCTCATGGTGGTGAATGCAACACCAACTATCCCTTGGTAATAGTGAAGGTGCACTTTGTCTTGGTAGAACAATACCGTTGAGGCCGAATGTCGGGAAATTGAAATTTCCAACACTTGGTGAGAAATTTTCTGGTCAACACGGACTCCTTCGGAGGTCAATGGACTGAAATGAAAACATACCAGAAGCCGCACTGGAGTTAATTGGATGAACTCAGCTCG